ATCCATTTTAGAGACGAGGAAAACTGACCGTAGACGGTCAGAGATCTATTCCACATCAGCCTCAAAGCCACGGCCAGGAAATCAGCCTCCTCGCACATGAGAAGCGGGGGTCCGGCCAAGGGTTAGCCGAGCTGAGGGCAGGCGGTGCCTGGGACGCAGCACTGGGAGGGTGCGGGTGCCAGGTCGTGGCCCAGGCCTGACCTCCGCTCTTCCAACCCTTGGGTGGACCTGCAGAGGGCGTGGGGCTGCTGGGAAAAGAGGGCCCTTTCTGCTGCGAAATCCTGTGACTTTCGAGAACACGTGCTTTGCTTGCTGTGTGCAGTGCTTGCTCACTGTGTCTCTCACATCCATCCTGGGATCTGTAGCCCTCTCCGGCCCGCGGGGACATCCTGGGTAGAAGGTCTCCCCTCCCTCGCTGGGTCTGAAGTCGTGGTTTGCCTCATGCGAATGCAGAAGCTTCGGGAGGTGGGGGAGCCCGGCTGAGCCACGCGGAGCTGTCCGTGGCACCAATTCAAAACGTGTGTTTATTTTTCAGGACTAGCCACAGCGACTCCAGCATTTACATTCGACGACATACTAACAGGTCTTTGGAATCGGTTAGTATGCGACTTTCTTCTTCTTCTGAGCGCCACTGCTAATCACTTCCTTTCCATCCTTCCTCCTCCCCAGCATGCAACAACTAGACTTTTGGATAGAAGGCAAGCACACTGAAATCTTGTTGTTAAGCACAGTCCAGTCGGACGTCCAGTTTGGGCCATAGGGGATGTAAATAAAGTGATGATTTTAAAGCCCAAAGGTCTCTTTGTTATATAAGAAAATGCACCCAATGCCCCCGCCCCCACCATACGCAGAAAGAGAAGTTCAATGGCAGGTGCAGCGGGAGAGGAGGGTCCTTGACGCTTGCAACGACGTAGCTCTGCTTGTGCTGGGACCCAAAGCACCATGGTCCGCAGCCCTGACTCGGGGGATGGGGCCCCCGGTCCGGGGTGGGCGGGGGGAGAGGGTGGAATAAGGTGGAACGTGGGTTAGCCCTTGGCCTCAGGAACTAGATGTTTACACTATTGAGAGAAGCGGGGCGTGCTCGGCTTTGTATGTTTAAAATCATTTTATTTTCTGTTTCAGAGATTTCATCTTTACTAATGGGGTTGCGGGGGTTTGTTTATGAATTTCACTGTAGGATCATTCTAGCTATGTTCAGTTGAGGAATGCAGCCGATCTGGATGACAGAAGGAACCGAATGTTAACCAGGTTGGTGGCTTTCCTCCAAGGGTGGTGGGGTTTCAAAAAAACCTCTTTCTATTTTAATTGTGCAGCCAACCGTCTGCAAAAGGTGGGGGCAGGGTGGCTATTCCCCCGCGAGGCTTTGTCGATAACAAAATGGAGTCTGAGATGATGCCACAGAGCTTAACGTTCCGAGGGAATGAATGGGAACGGACAAAGAGTGGGAGGGAAGAGTGATATTAACGAGCAGAAAGCGCTGCTCCGTGTGGGGACAGGTGTGGGCCAGGCACCTGCCTGCGAGCAGCACGGGCAGCGTGCGCCGGGGCCCCAGGGAGAGCCGGGCGGGAGAGGCAGGGGTGCGATACTGGGAATGCCACGCGCCTGACAGCCTTGTTCATTCTGTCGCCTCTGCAGGTACAATACTCAGAGGCTCACTGAGCTGATTTTACAGTTTTATGGCATCAGAGCAGACATGAAGAGGGAGTGCAAACATGCCAGGATGTCCATGAAAGTATCTCTTACCGTGGAGAACTAGGCTAAGCTGCCGCATCGCTGTCCGCTGCCCACTTAGGGCCTAGGGAGCCAGGAAACCTCTAACATCAAGCCGGGCTGCTCCTGGTGCCTGTGCGAGCCGCTGACTCGCTTCATTTTGTTCATCTTTTTCTAATATTTGCCACGGATTTGAATGGGCTTGGAAGGGCTTACATGGTTGGAATGGAAAACCCCTGCCTGAATACTCCCCCGCCCCCAGGAGTGTGATGCCCGGAATCCCGCCTCTGGCTCCTCACTAGAGGCCAGACCTGTTCCCTCTCCCGCCGTAACATGGAGAGATGAATTCACATTTTCCGTCAGGCTCAACACACTCCTGGGGAAACGGCGCTGAGCTTTTATGAGGGGGTCGCTCGGAAAATGGAACCGGCAAGGTGGAGACGTGCAGTCGGTTTTCCACATTGTTTTTTAAAAAAATACATTTTTACTGACTTCAGAGAGGAAGGGAGATAGTTTTCCACATTGTTTTTTTTTTTTTAAATGCATTTTTACTGATTTCAGAGAGGAAGGGAGAGGGAGAGAAACATCAGTGATGAGAGAGAATCGTTGATCGGCGGCCTCCTGCACGCCCCCTCCTGGGGATCGAGCCCGCAGCCCGGGCACATGCCCTGAGCGGGAATCCACCTGTGACTTCCGGTTCACAGGTCGCTGCTCAACCACTGAGCCACACCAGCCGGGCAGTTTTCCATGATTTTGAACATTTATTACCTTTGCAATAAAGAATATAGTTTAAATTTTCTCTAAAAACAGTTTTGAGAAAGAGAAAGCAACTCTGTCCATTGTCGGTTTTCTGCATATGAATCGCTGGTTCCTAGGCCAAGGCCTAGCCTGGCCTGTCACTGTGCGGGAGACAGTCAGGATGAAGTAGGGTTCCCTCCCAGAACTTCCCTCACAAGCCCCAAAACGTCCCAGTGAGCTTCAAGCAGAGGCTCCCAGCACCCCTTCCAACCAGATGGTGAAAATTTGGAACTTCTGGGCTTTATCCACCAGGCAAAAGCTAAAGGTCACTTTAATGCTGCCTTCTGCGGGAAAAAAAAAAAAAAAAAGAAGAAGAAAGACTAATCTGACCAAAACCAAATCTAGTCATTAATTATTTTAAAAGCCCCAAACTAAACTTGGTGGTAGTTTTTGGGTTTTGGCATTTGTTTCTGATCGCTGTTTTCAAATGATCTGACATCAGGGAATGCTCTCTTCCTTTAGATGACCCAGGAAGTCCCCTCTGTCCCTAATAACAGAACTGCCCGTGTCTAACGGTGTTCAGGCCACTGAGGTGGCCAGGAAGGTGTCCCGGCCAGGGAGTGAGACCTGGGCCAGAGCCCGGCTCTATCACAGTCATCGTGTGGCCTGGGCAAGCCCCGGCACCCAGTGAGTCTCAGTCTGCCCATCTGTGCAATGGGCTCACAGCTCCTCCCTCTTCGTGCTGTGGATGCCTGGCCCCTAGCGCCCTCCTTGGGTCTATGTGTGCACTGCGGGGGCTTTATCCTCCCTGGGCTGCCCGCAGCTCTCCGGTTGGGCAGCGAGGTGGGAGCATGGGAGCCGGCGGGGTCCGCTCGCCCGGGGTCCCACTTGTAACAGCCGTGTCTCCCTCCTGCAGGAAGGCCAACCACTCGGGCGAAGCCTCGCTGCGGGAGAGCCAGAGCCCGCACAGCGACTCCCTGACGCAGCTCGTCCAGCAGCCGGACATGATGTACTTCATCCTGTTCCTCTGGCTGCTGGTGTACTGCCTGCTGCTCTTCCCCCAGCTCGACGTCAACAGACTCTGAGCGCGTCCGCGCAATAAAGAGACCGGACCGGCCGGCGGGAGTGCCTTCTCTCTCACTGTATCCGGGCCCTGGACAGGGCACCTCTGCACACAGCTGAGGGTCTCCCAGCAAACGTGGACGCCTCGCTTTCTTTTCTTCACGATTCCTTTTCCTCCTGGGCGTCCCGAGCGTGCGTTCTCTCAGGCCGCGTCCTTGGCCCGCGGGGGTGCAGTCCCCCATGGGCTCCGTGCTGCGTGCCTTGCTTTGTCAGCATCTAGCCATCGCCCGGGCTCAGCCCGTCCCACACGCGGTCCTAAGGTCCTGGGTGGCCTCGGGTTCCTCTCCCCTCCTGGTGAGAAAGGGGGTGGAGGCCCCAGGCAGAGCCTCCACTGGGCCGAGGGGGCCTTGGAGCAAAGGGACCTGGTGTCCGTGCACCTGTGTGGTCTGGCGGTTGGGGGGACATCCGAGGGGGACACACAGCTGCCAACCCCAGGAAGGCATCTGGGAAAAGCAGAATCCAAACAGGGAAGCGACCGCTGTGCGTGAGCTGCGGGGCACTGGCGCTGCTTCGCCCGCAGTGTGTGTTTTGAGCGGGAGGGGTGCGTTTTAATTCACTTCTGCGTTGATTGGTTTGGGGTAGAGCTGGATCTTCAGATCTTCTCCACCAACGGAACCCTCCTTTCAAATGAATTCTTGGGGCGGAGTGTGGGCAGTCTAGATGATAGATAAAAGCAGAGTTCTGGCTGACACGGGGCGGGCCTGGGACCCCTCCCACTTTGCCCGGGCAGCCCCCTGGCTTCCGTGAGGGGTCTGTGCTAACCCCCAAGGCCCCACCCGGCACTGCAGACGCCCTAGCAAAAGCCAAAGGACGACTACAGAAGAGGCTGGGCCAGGAACCAGCTCCGGCTGATGGTACAGCTGGACGTGGTCCAGCAGGTTCCTGCCCAAGACTGCCTGGCGCTCCTGCCTGGGCGTGCGGTCTCGGCTCGGGCATCCTTTGTGGTCCTTCGCAGCGGTTTCCTGAAAAGGCAGGCGGTTTGGGAGAGGAGAGGGCACCCAGCCGCCCTCCCACCCTCCAGCTGGGCTCCCTCTGCGCCTGCTTCCTGCAGAGATGCAGGTCCCAGGGCCGTGTGGCTTCCTCCCCGGAGAGCGTAAGTCAGGTGACACTTGTCAGCCACAAGCGGTCAGGCCAGGAGGGACCCTCAGACAGCATCTGGTCCAGCGGAAGCCCGAGAGGCAGAGGGGATTGGCCAAAGTCACCCACCGCCCCAGGAGCAGACGTGCCAGCACCCCAGGCCACCCCGCGCCCAGCCCAGAGTCACCCCTTTCAGGGAACTCCCATTGTGCCCATGAATGTCCTGAAAAAAAAAAAAAAGAGAAAATGGTTAGATAAGAAAGACCTTCTTGGAAGCAAAACCAGGATTTTTAGGCCAACTTTCAGCCTCTGTTTCGTTCTCGGATGTTCCCACGAAGAGTTTCTATTCACTCTCAAGCCCGTCCCTGCTTCCTGCTGGGGACCCTTGGCCGCTGACAGACCAGCCTTGCTCTCACTCCAGGAACCACATGTGGCTCTCGCAAAGCCAAGGACTCGTGTATGTCAGGCAGTGAGGTTCAAGTTAACAGAACCCCAGCCTGGCCAAAAGGACTCGCGTGGCCCATCTGCGTGGGCAGCCGGAGTCCGGCCTCTACCCCGCTCTGATTCGAGCCTGCCTTCTCCCCCCAAACCGGCCTGAGCCTTCTCCGCCGAAAGCTGGGAGCCTGGAGCGATTCCATCCTGCAGGCCGCGTGTCCGTGGAAAGTGAGCTAATTAGCGCCTGGCATCGGCGAGGGCTCAGCGGCACAGATACTAAAGATGACGCCGGGGGTGTTTTACAACCCTGAGCACCACGCGTGCTCGCCTCGCTTAGGCGCTCGGACGCCCGGGGAAGGGCCGACCCAACGTCCAACCATTTCATTTACGGTCTAGACCTCGTTCAGAAAACCCCCCGCAGGCTGCACTCTCACCCGTTACAGCTTGTAATATTGTTTAAAGCCGTCCGCTGGCCAGATGCCTGAGTCATTGGGTTCAGGTTGGCAGCAAACTGCATTCTTTTTTTAAGGAAAAAACATTTCTCATTTGAGTAAAGGCTCACAGGGAAGAAGCTGGATATAAAAGGTGGATAGAGAAGCCTGCAGGACAAACCACCCCAAGGGTTTTCATTTTTAAAAACAATTTGTTTTAGACTCTTATCCAAGGAATACATGTTCGTAGTTTAAAAAGAAAAGGCTGTGAGGCTCTTAATGAGAACCAGGAACTGCCCGCCCCCCAGTCTTGCTCTCTAGAAGTAACGCTTTCCACTCTCTAATGCTTGCTTTTGCGTTTCTACAGCGCATGCTCATGCTTTTGTTGTTTAATTAACTTAGAAGCATCACTTGCTTTATGGCAGACGAGGCTGTCTCTGCGTCGCCAGGGCAGTCAGATCACACTGTTTGGTGCCTCGCTGTTCAGTCGGGCTGTGTAAGGACTGCTTGCCCCTGAGTCACCTGGTGTGTACTGTGCTTACGTGTTCTCTCCTGTCAAATTTAGCGTTGATTTGATTTTTTTTCTTTTTTTGATGTGGAGCATTCATATATATATATATATATATAGTGAGAGAGAATCATGGATCAGCTGCCTCCTGCACGCCCCCCACTGGGGATCGAGCCCACAACCCAGGCATGTGCCCTGACCTGGAATCGAACTGTGACCTCCTGGTTCATAGGTCGATGCTCAACCACGGAGCCACGCCGGCCGGGCTGACACATTCTTTAATAACTTCTCAAGAAAAGGAACATGGGAAGTAACTATTGTAAAATTTTGGGGTTTTTGCATAACTTCAAATATCTTCGTTCTGCTGCCTGTGGCTCTGCGGCTGGAGTGTGGTCATAGGAACTCTCAGTCAAGCTCGGGTTTTCTCGAACATCCAGGACGACTCCAGAAACCCCACCAGAGTTCAGAGACGGGCCCTCTCCTCTCTGCTGGGAGACCTCCCTCGGGCCTCTGCCCAGTGACCCGCCTGTGGTCAGCTTCACCACCCAAGTCTGAAGTGGACAGAAGGAGGTGGGAGCCTCCATCACCCCCTCCCATTTGTTGGTCCCACCCACACCTCTTAGTCCTCCTGTGCTCACACGAAAATGGCTGCGGAGGCGCCGGTTTCAGGTTTCAGCCTATGGTTGCAAATTCGCAACCAGATGCCTCAAAGGGGCCCTTAGTAGTAAAACCTCAGTGTTTGACATCGAAGACTTCAGTGATTTCAGTTAACTGTGCAACCCCGTCCCCTCCCCTGCTCATCGCTTCTCCACCACTAACAGGTGCTTCTCAGAGTAGGAAGGTGGGCTCTCTCAGAAAACGCTCATCTCAGCGGCCTGGGCGGAGCACAGTCCCCGTGGGATGGGAGCGCAGTCCCTGTGGGATGGGGAGCACGGACAAGGTGGAGCACAGTCCCCGTGGGATGGGAGCACAGTCCCCGTAGGATGGGAGCGCAGTCCCCGTGGGATGGAGAGCGCAGTCCCCGTGGGATGGGAGCACAGTCCCCGTGGGATGGGGAGCACGGACTACCTGGATGACGTCACGATTGGTTGGTCTGAGATGGGTATCGTAATTTTTATTTAAGTTTAAAAGTCATAATTTTTGCAACAGCCACCACTTCTATCCATCCCACCACAAGTCAGCATGAGCACATTCTCTGCCAAGTATGCTGTGGGTTGGGCGGCCACAACGCGTTTGTATCCCTAAATGCCATGCAAGGCTGGGAACGCTCTTTTAAAGGGAACACTGCGAGAGTCTAACCTAGAGAGCTGGCTTTGTTCCAAACCGGGACAAGCTGCCCGGGCACCAGGAGCCGGCATCCTGGCTGCGGCCCCCCTGCTCTGACCCCTTGAATAATCCATTCACCTCTCTGGGTTGGGCGTTGGAAGACTTCTTTTGAAAAGCCCTAGATTTTAAAATCTAAATCTTAGCAAGTTTAGATTATTTTTATAAAAGCTCAGTTCGTGGCCTATTTGCTTAAAATAAATGTACCTCTGTATTGGCAAGCGAATGCCAAAGCTTAGAGCATTCTTCCTGCTTTGTATCTTAAGAAAGTGCCTGGGAAGGTTTAGTAAATAAAAGGTAGTTTATGTTAAAGGTGTGGGGATGAGAGTTTGCGAGAGAACGTGGGAGATCTCCTTCCTCGGGCTCCTAGAACGGACGGGGTTTCCCTAAGTCAGCATCAGGGGCAGTTTCCCCGGGGAATGTCTTTCGATTTGAGAAGTTCAGCCGCAGGAATAAATAGCTTTTACCCACTAGCCCTGCCTGCTCCTCCCATCTTGTTCCCGTTCCCCCAGCAGACTCAGGGCCTGGGCACAGAAAGCCCTCTGGAGTCAGAGGCCCTTTGCATGCTGGCATCGGGTCCCTTCAGCCAAAGGCTGGCACGTTGGTGTGGCCTGTTCCTGCAGGGGGCACGGTACTGGTGGGGGAGGGGTGCCTAAGAGCCCTTTGCCCTTGAACCTGCACCTGAGATAGCTGCCTGCATCCCTCGCGTGGTGCTGGTGACATCAGCCAAAGACGGAAGGTGGCAAAACGAGGACAAAGGCCTAACCCTGGACGCGGGAGTTCGCTCAGAGGATGTTGTATTGGATGGTGACGGGCGTTTATCTTTTCAAGGTCTGTCATGTGTTTAGCAGGTTTCGTGCTACAGTTTCTTTTAATGCCCTGGCAGGACCTAATGGACAGTGTGAGGGTTTTCACTGAGGCCTCCAAGAGAACTATTGAAAAAAGCGGGATGTTATTTTGTAATACGAGGGTTATTTTGTCGATTTAGTATATACATCGCCGTAGCTTTGTAAAAAGGGATCTTTGTAAAAACAATTGTATGAATGTGCACTCTTATTTATTGATGATTGTAAATGAAGATGTTAATGACTATTTGCATAATTTATACCTGTGGGAAATTAACTGGAGTATTTGTTGACTGTTTTCTATTAAGGAAGTTTAGGCTTGGTGCTATGATGAGTGGTCTTGTAAAATTACATGTATTCTTAAGAAAAATTTTGAGTATAAATTTCAGGAACCAACACTCTCGTTGATGATCTTTATTTCCATGTGCATTGGTGTCTCTGCCGACCGGAAATGACACTCTTTCCTTTGTCCCAACAAAGAGTGCTATTGCCAGGGGGAAGGTGAAGCCGCTGGTTGTAGGGACGGTAGGGAATGTACCCTCCTTAACTTGCAGCTTGCCTTGGGCCTTTGCATGGGAGGCTCCAAGAAGAAACAATAGTTGTATTACTAGTAGTGGTGGTGGTGGTGGTGGTAGTAATAGTATAGTAGCAATAACAGTAATAGTAGGAGTAGTGGTAATAGTATAGTAGCAGCACTAGTAGTGGTGGGGGTAGTGGTAGTAATAGTATAGTAGCAGTAGCAGCACCAGTAGTGGCGGGACTAGTGGTGGTGGTGGTGAGTGGTAGTAGGAGGAGGACAGTAGTGGCAGTAGTGATAGTAGCAGTGGCAGCCGCGTGGCCCTGGAGTTAGTCTTCCTGCTTGGGTGCCTGGGCTTGAATCCTGGATCTGTCTCTTACCAGCTGGGTGAGTGAGGGCAGTGGGAGTGAGGGAGGAAGGACGGAAAGCAAATGAAAGGCGAGGCGCCAAATCTTGATTCCCCATCTGCTGGGTCTCGGCTCTGTTCTGGGTGCTGAGAACAATCAGTGAGACCACAGCCCTGGCCCCCTTAGAGCTCATCTTGCAGTGGGAGGAGCTGGACATAAACAAAATAAGTGAAATATATGCACATCCGCTATGCATCCGTAAGCGCATGAGAAAGGCCGGGAAGAGGGAGCAGAGTGGGGCGGGTGGGGAGGTGACACGATGTTGACAGAGTGTTCTGGACGGGTCTCTGAGGAAGAGACTCTTGACTAAAGCCTTGAAAGATGCGGGACAAGGCACTTGACCATCTGGGGAAGGAGCTTTCCGGGCAAAGGGAGCCGCACATGCAAAGGCACTGAGGCTGCGGCTGGCGTTTTCAAGGACAGCAAGGAGCCCGCCGTGGCCAGCGCAGCGCGGGAGGAGGGAGAGGCCAGAGGAGCTGGACGAGATGCAGGTCGGGTTGGCCTTGGAGGGCCTTGGCCTCCACCCTGCACGAGTGGGATCCACTGAAGAGTCTGAACGCATGGCCTCCACCCTGCATGAGCTGGGATCCACTGGAGAGTCTGAGCGCATGGCCTCCACCCTGCACGAGTGGGATCCACTGGAGAGTCTGAGCGCATGGCCTCCACCCTGCATGAGCTGGGAGCCACTGGAGAGTCTGAGCGCATGGCCTCCACCCTGCATGAGCTGGGAGCCACTGGAGAGTCTGAGCGCATGGCCTCCACCCTGCATGAGCTGGGAGCCACTGGAGAGTCTGAACGCATGTTGACTG